CAACAATGTGGAAAAGCCTACACTACTTCATCTTACCTTCAGATACATGAACAAATCCATGCTGGAGAGAAGCCCAATGAATGCCAACAATGTGGTAAAGTCTTCATTACTTCTTTTTTCCTTCACAGACATGAACGGACACATACTGGAGAGAAGCCTTTTGAATGTAAGCAGTGTGACAAAGCCTTCACTGAGTCCTCTAACCTTCACTCACATGAAAAAACTCATACGAAAAAGAAACACTATGAATGTCAACAACGTGGGAAAGCCTGCCCTACGTTGACTCACCTTTAGAGACATGAACAAATCCATACTGGACAGAATCCTAAGGAATGCAAACAATGTGGAAAAGTCTTCACTTATTCTTCTAACCTTCACAGACATGAACGGACTCATACTGGAGAGAAGCCCTATGAATGTAAGCAGTGTGGCAAAGCCTTCACTTGGTTCACTGACCTTCACTCACATGAAAAAACTCTTACTGGGGAGAAGCCCTATAAATGTAAGCAGAGTGGCAAAGCCTTCACTCAATCCCATCATCTTCACAGACATGAAAAAATGCATACTGGAGAGAAGACTTATGAATATCAACAGTGTGGAGAACCCCTTGACACATCCAGTGAACCTCACATACATGGAAGTATTCATGCAGAAGAGAAGCCTAAGGAATACCAACTATGTGGAAAAGTCTTTTTCTTGTTTTTTTCTTTCACAGACATGAAGGGACTTACACTCAAGAGAAACCCTATCAATGTAAGCAGTGTGGCAAAGCCTTCACTCAGTCCTCTCATCTTTGCTCACATGAACGAACTCATACTGGAGAGAAGCCCTATGAATGTCAACAATGGGGAAAAGCCTTTGTTATATCCCATCAGCTTCACTTACATGAACAAACTCATATTGCAAAGAAATTGTACTGATGCAAACAATTGGCAGAGTCTTCTGTTATTACTATTTTTCTCATCAACATGTTGGAAGTTTACTGGAGAAAAATTCTTTAAATGTGAAATGTGGTGGATCAATATTTCTTGTCCCCTTCAAACACACTGCTCACTCTGCTGAATATTGTACTGGGGATTGTACTGCAGATTTGGTCTGGTGGCCCTCTACCACTGAGACACATCCTCATTCTTTTTGATATTTTTAATTTTGAGAGAGAGACTTGCTGAGTTCCTTAGGGTTGTTCTAAAATGCTGATGCTGGCCTCAAACTTGTGATCCTTCAGCCTACGCCTCCCAAGTCTCTGGGATTAAAGGCATACATCACCACATCTGGCTGAATAACTATTTAAATGTGAAAAAATATAGCAAATCATTCCATTTTCCCTGTTTTCTTCAAAGCCATTTCCCTCACTAGAAAACAAACACTCTGAATGGGGATGATTTGCTATACTCTATCAGCTTCATGTTCTAGACCTATTTTTCTTTTCCTTTCTGAAAATTCTCATGGAGAGAAGCCATATGAATGTGAAAAATGTGGGAAATCTTTTAATTTTTGCAGTTTATTCTGAGTACTAGAAGATTCTTTTGGAAAGTTTCATGCCAAAATGAATAAATCCTATGCAAGTAAGAAATACAAAGGGTTCAGATGTTTTAGTTTTGTTCAGTTGTATTAAAAAAAATACTATAGAAAATCCTGTGGATAAGCCATGTTGGGTAGTACTTAATTTTGACAGTTTTATTCAAAGACATAAAAGAATTTACATCTGGGCTGGGGATGTGGCTCAAGCGGTATTGTGCTCGCCTGGCATGCGAGCAGCCTGGGTTCGATCCTCAGCACCACATACAAAGATGTTGTGTCTGCCGAAAACTTAAAAATAAATTGTCGCGACCCCTCGCCGGCAAGGGAAACACGACACAGGATTCTTCTTTCAGCAGTTTACTCAGGACCTTTGAATCATTATGAGAAAACAGGAACAAGAGAGGGAGCGGTCGGTCTTCCCTAGCTTAAGTACCCAGCCCCGCCAATGAACTAGCACCACGTGGAAAAGTCTAATAGGTACAGCGCAGCAGAAGCAGGCCAGAGCCAGCCCCACAGCCTTACAAGGAGTTGTTTACTTCTAACAACTCTAACCGCTTAATGAAGGGGAAGCAGAGACCAGCGCCATATTCAGGGTGCGGTCGCTGGCTCCCAACAGTTCCCCCTTTTTGTTTTTCAAGCAACAGGTAAAAGTAGAGGTCCTATCTCCATTGTGCAAAAGTGGCCGTAAATAATGGCACACTCCTGAGGGGCGCCTCCCCAGGCGAGTCACCATTCATGGAGGTGGGGCGTCGACATCAAACCCACATGCAATAGGACATGCTTTTCTTGGGACTCAAACCTAGAGCTCCCAAGTGCAGTGCCTTGCCTCGCAACCTGTGCTGTGTCGATCGCTTAAGCATGGTGAGCCATGCTTGAGGGGACTGTCCTCCTTCTAAAGCAGGCAAAGGCTTGTACAAGCATAAGACTCTGCACCCACTGCTGCTTGCGCATACGAACCAGATACCACAGGCACAATCCAATGGCAAGTACTAGGACCACAGCCAACGCACCCATGCCTGCCCATTAGCACTTGATTCAAAATGTCCACTTGGTCTTGTAGTAGATCTACCCGCTGGTTTAGAAGCACAATGCCACGATGTAGATGTTGATTCATCATAGTCTGAGTCTCCATGGCTGTTGCAGCAGTACCCGCAAGCTTGTTCACAGCATCTGCAGTAAGCACAGCAGTAGCGAGAGCCGTGGCAGCAGTGGCCGCCGCAACAGCAGAAGCTGCAACGGCTGCCACAATGGCTGCAGTTATATCAAGGTCTCTTTTGTTTCTTTGCAATAATACAGGCAAATTATCATCATCAATAGACACACACAGGTAAAGGCAAGTAGGAGGGCACACGTACTACCACAACAGAGTCCTCCAAAGAGGCATTCCAGCATTGTACAAGTCTACACATCTGGTTAGAACAATTGAGTAAAGGAGATGAATAAAGATTTTGTTAGAATTAATAAACTGAGGGGTAAATGAGCCCTGACATCCAGTCCAAGCTGGTGAACTAGTTTTTATGGCTTTACAACGGGGCAACAATGTCGGTTGTTGAGGAATAGAAGTATTGGCTCTCAATACCTTAGCAGGAAAAACACCATTGATTACAGTAGCATTACCAATTGAGCCCCGAGAACCATCACTATCAAACCAGCCCAAAGATTGATTGGTTAACATAATACAAGGTATGGAATCAGAGTAATTAACATTTACAGAGAAACCCAATGTGTCAAATAATGAAACAGTAGAAAAGTTATCAATAGCTGCTACAATATCCACAGGCAAGGTCGGTCAATCCATGGTGGCAGAGCCATTAGTAGTGAAGAAAAATGGAAGTACACCAGCCTGAGAAGTAACGGGCAATGGATATGGCCACGTCTTTACCACCGCCCAGAGGAATCATTCTGCAGCCCAGATGACCTCATGTCCGATCACCATCAGGAGAAGCATCAAGCACCTCATCTTGTTCATCTTCATTCTTCCTTCC